CAGTCGTGGTAGCAGTAGTAGTAGTAGTAGTAGTAGTAGTAGTAGTAGTAGTAGTAGTAGTAGTAGTCGTAGTAGAAGTAGTAGAAGTAGTAGTAGTAGTAGTAGTAGTAGTAGTAGTAGTAGTAGTAGTAGTAGTAGTAGTAGTAGTAATAGTTAGTAGTAGTAGTAGTAGTAGTAGTAGTAGTAGTAGTAGTAGTAGTAGTCGTCGTCGTAATAGTAGTAGCAATCGAAGTACTAATCGTAGTAGTAGTAGTAGTAGTATTAATAGTAGTAGCAGCAGCATCAACAGCAGTAGTAGTAGTAGTAGTAGTAGTAGTAGTAGGAGTAATCGTAGTAGTAATCGTAATCGTAGTATTTAATCCAAGTAGTAGTAGCAGCAGCAGCAGCAGCAGCAGCAGCAGTAGTAGTAGTAGTAGTGGTAGTAGTAGTAGTAGTAGTAGTAATACCAAAGCATTTGTAAACCATTGGCTTTTCCCATTAGTATGTTCCGCTAGCAGCATGGCATTTTGTCAAGGCATTCCCAGACGCCACCGGCGCGAATCGTGACCTTACTGGGGGGGGAAGGGGGGGGCGCCGCCGGTAACGGGCGCTATCGCGAAACATTAAAAATGGTCTCCTGTTGGACGAGGCGCGCGGGAACGAAACCGACACGAGGCAGGCCATGAAGGACGAGCTCCAGCGCTCGATGAGTGTCGGAGCCTTCAGGCGCTACCCGATGGACCAGGCCGAGAACACCATCCAACTCGCTCTGGTTGCTCAAGGGGAAGCAGGTCGACGGCAATCGCCAGATAGGTGCTGCTGGCGGTCCGAAGCATTAAGGACATGCAGGGTTCGGATCTGTCCACACTCGCCGGCGCCATGAGCAATTCCGGCGCGTGGTCGACGCCGTCGCGGCCCAGCGCAATTGGCGGCCTTCCTCGGCAGACATCGGCCAGGTGTTTTTGCGCGGATTGAGGTTCGAGCGAGTGGCCGCGATGGATGGCGATGTCGCTAGGCCACCGCAGTGCATTTCGCCGCCGGGCTCGATTTTCATGCGGGTGCATCTGGAGGGCTACGGGGAGTTATCCGTTGATGGTGGTATTGCTCATGCTACGATATGGGTTTGGATTCAAGGATGCACCGCGACTATGGCAGATTATGCTGAAACAAGTCCTCGCGTTGACAGGCGCCAAGCCGTCGCTCGGCGATCCCATGTATATGTATATCACGTAGACAACGGCGAGTTTCAATTGGTAGTGTCGGCGCATGTCGACATTTTCAACAGCGGCGGCAACGAGGCGCTGCGCGAGCAGTGTTTGGCAGTGCTCGAACACGAGTTCGGCGGTCTGAATGAGCCGCGCGACAACTTCGAGCGCGCGCGTGCGATGCGCGAGCAGGACCCCAACACATTCGAGATATGGAAGCACCGGCAGCACAACGCGCGGCAATTTCGGCCGCTGAACCGCGGCAAGATCGCGATGGCGAAAGACGAGGAGACGGTGAGCACGGATGCGCATGCACCATGCATGTCGATGCTCTGTGGGGATGCATGGCCAGCGCAAGCGACGTCGCCGATTGCTGTCTACATCTCCCCCCGCCCCTGCAGCGCCAAGCGAAGAGTCGTGGCAGCGGGCATCGGGCGAAACGCGTGAAGTTGGGCGCGCAGCTCTTGGCGCTGAACCCGCTCAAGACGGGAGTCGTAGCAGCAGTGTCAGGCTCAGTCTTTCAGGCCCGGGAGATCGGAGGATTTGCGATGCAACGCTGCTGCGTCATGCTGACAGAGAATGATACCGAGGCGCCCTTAACTGGTCAGTGCTGACATTTGGTGTTGTTCGACTGGTAAACCCAAAAGCAGAAACTCGCGTTGCGCGCCGCGTACGCTGCGGAACTTCAAGCACCATTTGGTGTTGAGGGCGCCAGTCTCATCCTCGACGTGGCGTTCACGGAGGTGGAGCGTGGTATTACGACGTGGAGGCGCATGCAGGAGACAGGAGACAGGTTATTTCTAGTACGACACGGGCGGCTACGTGGACGCGAAAGCAGTAGTCGATGCGATCAACATCGAGACTGAAGGTGAGCCACGACGAGGATTTTACACACACACAGCCTCGCGGCCACAGAGCTGTTGGACAGCGGACAGTTGCGACGATCGTGGATTGATACTGTCGACATGGTCGGAGACGGCTCGACAAAAGGCTCGATCGACACGGAGGCGCTCATCGAGCTTGGATTGACGAGCACATTGTTGTTTTCCGGGATCCAAGCCATCGGGTGCATGGGCGCGCAGACGAACGTTACTAGCGCTGTTGAGGCTGTCTGTATGTGCCTGGCTGCGAGACCCGCAGCCCCGACGAGGCCGCCGACGGCCGCCCGGTCTTCTTGTCGTTCGCGTGTTCAGCCGGCGGCTCGAAGCGCAGAGCGCTCGATCCCCGACCCGAGCGAAAAGGTTCGGGGAGAGCGTGTGCAAGGAATCCGCGGGAGCTCGGCGCGGCCAAGGGTGCTATGAGAATCCAGAGGGGAACAGCGTGCGCATGATGCGCATCCGTTCTGCCTCAAGCCTCAAGCTCGGCCGGAGCTGCCGGGCAGGACCGATATCAGGGAGTGAACCCACGTTGCCCCTGCAGGTCAAACACGCACGTGCGATCATGATCACGTTTCGCTTCCGTCCTATGTTTATCGAGATCTTGGTGCATAATTTGTTTGCCAGAGAGGAAAGAGACGACCCAGCGGGAGCCCTATTAGAAGTCCAAAAGAGGAGGAGTGGACTATCCAGCGGAGAGGAGAGACGGGATGTCCAGACGTGGAGGAGGAGGAGGAGAAGGAGGAGGACGAGGAGGAGGAGAAGGAGGAGGAGGAGGAGTGGAAGATCTAAAGAAGAAAGAGAGGGAAGGCCCAGACAGGCAGCAGGAGGAGAAAGAGGAGGATGAGGAACTTGTCGACCAAGTCCAAATACTGTCGGATACCATCCAGTGGTTTTCCACCGTCCCTTGCGGCTTCCAGAGGCAATGGGGGAAGGAGAAATGGGATTTCAGGGGGAGAAGTCAGAGAAGGGGAGGGGGCGATCAAGTCCAGATGGGGGGAATCGGGGGGTTAGGGTGGCAAAGGGACGAACTCCCGCTTGGAACCCCGGAAGCCGTCTCGCTCACTTCTGCCCGCCCCCGTGGCACCCGATGCTCAGCGTCGGCAGCGGTCGCCGTCCGACGGACAGCCCCTGGGAGCCGTGACAGACGCAACGTGTGGCACGCCCACAGAGTGAGCTGTCTGACTACCTACCAGACCACCCCAACCCAACCCGAAGGCCCGAATTTCGGGTTGGGGGGGGTAAGGGTTCCATACGTGTTTTTTCGACGTTCCCCGACCCCCCCACACTGGAAATAGAGGGCAAATTTGGGCCTTCGGGTTGGGTTGGGGTGGTTTGGTGGGTGGTGACTGTCTGTGCCAGGTGCGTCACGGGCACCAAGTGCCACGGGCGCGCCCCGCGTGCCGCGTGCGACGCGTGCGCCACGTGGGCCACGTGCGCCACATGCGCGCGGCGCGCGCAGAGCGGGCCAGTCGTGGCACTTGGCGCCGCGTGCGCCAGCGTATGTAAACTAGCACGCCGACGTGCCCACCAACGTTGCCTCCCCAGGAAGCACCAAGAGTCCCCCAAGGGGCTTCCAGGGAACGCCCAAGAGGCCCCCCAACACACCCCAAGAAATCATGTCCCCAGAAAACCTTCCGGGGACATGGTTCATCATGGGCCGAGAGTTCCCGGAGGCCCCCAAGGGGCCCCCAGGGAACCCCCAAGAGACCCCCCAACACACCCCAACAAACCATGTCCCCAGAAAGCCTTCCAGGGACAAGCAATGCAACTTTTGATTTTGATTTGTGATTAGTCGGCATCGCGCATGGTGCGTGCAGTCAGTTTGCATTGGTTTCTGGCAGGGATGGCGGGCCAGCGCGCAGCGAACAAGAGGGGGGGCGCTAATTACAAGCGTACGTCTGACACATGCGTTCTAGCAGAGGCCGCTTTCTCTCGAGTGAGAGGCACACCAGAGCGGGCAAGAGAGGCAAACATGGGCAAGGACCTAAACGGCGTCAAGCACAGTTGGCAAGACAGCGTCTGCAGCAACACCGGGAAGCTGCAAAGCCGTAGAACAAGAGGACATTGTCCATCGAATGGACACATACACGTAAGCGAAAATCATCACGCCGTTGTATTGCGCATGCAGCGGCGAGCCACACACAGACACATTTTTTTCTGGCAGGGATGGCGGGAGCCTCCATTGTTTCGGTTCGGCGGTCACTCGAGTGGATCATAGGCTGTTGGTCGTCAAAGAGCAGTGACGGGCAGGAATTGCATCTCCCCCCCCCATCCCGTCCCCTCCACCACCCCTTTCCCCTCTCTTCCCACTTCTGGACGGGACCCTTGCCCCGTCTCCCCCCGGGGGGAACGGAAGAGGAGCAGAATGCGAGGGGAGGTCCATGTCAAGATTCAGAGGTGTGGGTGCAGAGCAGAGATCCATATCCATATCCATATCCATATCCATATCAAGAGAGCAGATATCAAGATTCAGGATTCAGAGATCCATATCAAGATTCAGAATGCACCCTCGGAGGCTGCGTGGGTGCAGAGCCCCCATCTGGTTTCCCCAAGGACTCCCCCCCTGAGGCACACGTAAGGATTTGGGGGTCGCTGTACAAGGCCAATTCCATCCAGGTCCACTACAACCCCAGCTCTCTTTGGACTCAGCATTTTGCAGCGCCTGGACAGATGCTCCTGCCTGCGAGACTTGTTCGGACTCCAAGCCCGCGCAGCTGCCTTCCGAAGTGTCAAATGCGCATTGATGGCAGAAGTGCAGTGAGCAGGAGTGTCATCATGGCAATCGGCCACAGTATCCCTTGTGGCCCTTGTGGCCGATCAGGTGCAACGTCTTTTCTGGACATCTTTGATAGCCTGAGAGTGCACTGCCCTGGAGGAGGGGCACCGAGGGATGGAAGGAGGCGGAGGACGGGACAGGGGCGAGCAGAGCCACGGGGAGGTGCACCGGGTGCCGTGGTGGCTGCAGATTCTGTATATGATCGGCGTGGTCTGGCTCGGCGGCGTTTGGGGTGTTGCTAGCTTCCTCGCTCGCCATCCCACGAGCCTGCCCGTGTGATGCATGCTTGTCTGCTCGCCGTCCCGCCCCCGATGTTGCCCCCCCCCTCTCTCTCCCCCCCTCTCTATCTCTCTCTCTCTCTCTCTCCTTCTCGTTCTCTCTCTCACTCTCCCTCTCTCTCTATGTGTTTAGTTATCTCTCTCTATATATGTTCTCTCTGTATGGAGCTGGCTGTATGTATACGTAGAGCTGGAAACCTACGAGGTGTTGAGGCCCGGTTGAGTTGGCTCTGTTTGATTTACGTTGTTGTTTGTTTTGTGTGAGTGTGAGCGTGCGCGTGCACGTGCGCGTGAGTGTCAGTGTGAGCGTCTGCGTGCGCGTGCGCGTGCCCGTGCGCGTGCGCGTGCGCGTGCGCGTGCGCGTGCGTGCGTGCGTGCTTGGGTGTGTGTGAGTGTGTGTGTGTGTGTGCTTGTGTGCTTGTGTGTGTGTGCTTGTGTGTGTGCTTGTGTGTGCATGTTTTTTTTTTGTTGGGGGAGGGGTCGGCGAAGGACACCATGAAAAGGCGCAGTGCAACTCTTTTTGTGCTTCCACCCGCTGCTGTTTCTGCTTGGGGGGGGGGACCGTGCGCGCCCCCAGAAAGGGCGCGGTCAGATCTGTGCTGCTGTCCGCCCGCCTGCCGCTCCCACCTGCGGCGTGGGCCGTGCGGGGCCGCTCTGCCAGAATGCCCTTGGCATCGCTCGGACGTGTGCATTTTTCCTATGGCGAGGGCCACCGAGGAGCATCCTTCATCATTTGGCGACAAAACCACGCACGAAACCAAAAAACACAGGGAATGGACGTCCGAGCGATGGCCAGTGCCGGGCAGGACTCGCCAGGGCTTCCTCCAGGGGGCCGCTGTTCTGTCGGCGACTCCTCGCAGGCAGTGGCGAAGCGTCCTGGCGTGCCTATAGGCCTGCCAAACCATGTTCTAAGAACCTTTTCTGTGGTCTGCACGACATGTTCTTCGAACATGTCTGGCTGGGGCTGTCTCGTTTGAGCACATCGGGCGGATGTTCTAAGAGCACTGTTTTTGTTCTTAGAACATGCTTGGGTTCTAAGAACATTTCGTGGTAGGACTCTAGGAATGTCGGGACGGTCGGTCCCTGCTTGATTCCTCGCAGACCCCCCCCCCGAGTCAACCACGGGACAGTGCCCCAGAAAGCCTCACCACGACCCAAGAGATCCCCAACACGGCGCAAGGGAGTTCCCAAATCCGTCCAAGACTGTGCAGGAGAGTGTTTCGAGGTGGCTCCAGATCGACCCACGATGGCCTCAAGATGGCCTCGACAGGCCTTCGGACGTCCAAGAGACCTCTACTTGGCATCGCTCGGACGTGTGCCTTTTTCCTTCGCGACAAAAGCCACGCGCGAAACAGAACAAAAAAAACAGGAAATGGACGTCCGAGCGATGGCCAGTGAAGGGTTTCAGCGCTCTCGCCCTTTCGGGCTCCCGACGCTCCAGGACGGCCCGCGAGGCCCCCAAGATCGCCCCGAGAGCCATGGGGGGCCCGCGAGAGAGCTCCCGGACGCCCCGAGGGGGGCCGCCCGAGAGGGCCCCGAGGCAGCCCCAGCAGGGTCCCGAGATGGTGCCAGGAGAGGGGGAGCTCGAAGTGAGACGTCGCGCTCTCCACCCCAAGGTGACGGGCCGAAGCCCCAGGGGGGGCTCTTTTGGACAAAGAGCCAAAACCAAAACCGAGAGGGTCCAGCACGCCAGGCACCCCTGCGATGAATCGACGGGGGGCGGCGGATCGAAGACGCCTACGGCGAATCACCGCCGCCCCCTGCCTTTTTGGAAACGCCGATGTGGCCGAAAGTTTGGCCAAGCTATCGGACCATGAGTTCCCCGAGTCGGTTTGGAAAGCTTTCGGGGAACACATGGGAGAGAATGATTATGAACAGGAAGAGGAAGAGGAAGAAATAGAGTAGGAGGATGAGGGTTGTTAGGAGTCTCTTGGGGCACCCTTGGGGTCTGTTGGGGGCTTCTTGGGGGCCTCTTCGAGGCCTCTTGGAGGCATCTTGGGGGCCTCCTTGGGCCTCTTGGGGGCCTTTGGGGGCTTCCTGGGGGTCTCTTTGGCCGTCTTAGGGCGTTCCTGGTCCGTCTGACGCCGTCTGGAGCCGTCTTGGGGGCCTCTCTGGGCCGTCTTGGGGCCCTCTTGGGGCGCTTCAGGGCCGTCTTGGAGGCCATGTTGGGCGTCTTGGAGGCCTCTTGGGCCGTCTTGGGGCGCTCTTGGGGCCGTCTTGGGGGGCCCTTGGGCCGTCATAGGGCCTTCTTGGAGGCCTCTTGGGCGATCTTGGGGGCCTCTTGGGCCGTCGGAAGGCCGAAAAGAAGAAAACGCAAAAAACCTTCAAAAACCTAAGGAAAACCAATGATTTTGGCCTCTTCGGGCTCTCCTGGAGAACGTCTTGGAGGCCTCTTGGGCCATCTTGGAGGCATCTTGGGGCCATCTTGGCCGTCTTGGAGGGCATCTTGGGCCGTCTTGGAGGCATCTTGGAGCCATCTTACCCGTCTTGGAGGCCATCTTGGCCGTCTGGGAGGCATCTTGGAGGCCATCTTGGGCCATCTTGGCCGTCTTGGAGGCCATCTTGGGCCAAGTTGGGGCAACAAAGGCATTGACAGACGGATTTGGGGAAAATTACGGGTGGCCGGCGGGACGGGCCGAAGCCCATTGGGGAGTTCTTTTAGAAAAAGAACCAAAACCAAAACCTGAAACATCCAGCACGCCGTGCACCCCTGCAAGCAGGGGGCGGCGGATCTGAGTGGCTTTCGGCCCATCCAGCCACCGTGCCCGGGTTGTGGGTCTGAGGCCTCTTGTATATGTTTTGGGTTGTCGTGGGGAGCCTCTCGTGGGCCTCTAAGTGGCGGTTGGAGCGCCTCTTGGGGGCATCTTGGGCCTCTTGGGGGCTTCTCGGGGCAGAAGTAGAGAATTGTCGGTTCGTGGTCCCCTGCTTGGGCCCCTGTCGGGGCCATCTTGGGGCCCTCTCGGGCCGTCTTGAAAACTTCTTGAGCAATCTTGCAGCCCTCTTGGGCCGTCTTGGTGCCCTCTTGGGCTGTCTTGGGGCGGTCTTGGGAGCTTCTTGAGCCGTCTTGGAGCGTCGGAAAGCCGAAAGTGCGAGAAGGCCAACATTCTTCAAACACTGTCGTAAACATCGACGATTTGGGCCTATTGGGGCTCTCTCTCGGGAGGCCTCTTGGAGCGCTCTTGGGGCCCTCTTGGGCCGTCTTGGAACCATCTTCGGGCGCGATTATGTGGCCTCGGCAATGCGAATATGGTGTAATTTGCGAGGGGCTCTAGCCTCGGGGACGCGAATCTGGCATACGTTACATGGGTTGGTTGCCTCGGGGATGCAATAATTACATAAGGTTGTGAGGGTTACTGGCCTCGGGGACGCGAGCATTGTTTAATTTACGAGGGAGTATGGCTTCGGGGATGCGAATCTCTCATACATATATATATATATATATGTATATATACATCTATATACACACATGTCCCACGCCCCCCCGAGATTTCAGAGCACGCGATCCGAGTGGTAATTTGCTGGTTTGGGGCTCACCCCCATCGCGCGGATTTCAGTCACTTACAGTAGGAAGCAGACACCAGGGCTGTAACATTGGAGACTTGAAACTGCCACTGGCGCAGATGATTGTTATTTTATTCATTGTTTTGCCGATCGGCGCGGGCCCCCAACCCCACCTCCCTCCCCCATGGGGTGGATCTTGGTTGTTTTGTTGGCGCATGTTTCGAGCGGGTGGAGCCTCTCCCCCAGAGGCCGCACTCTTGCAAACAGTCGCACTGAGCAGAGGTCTGGAGCCATCCCCCCCTCCCCCCCCCTCCCCCTTGCCGCTCATTGTCGAAACGCCGAAGAGCAAAACGCGCACCGGGGAACATCAGCCTAGCCCTACAGCCTGGTGGCCCCACGAAAGGGGCGGCGGATCCTCCCAAGTGTTCCTCACATCCATGAGTTCTGCCGGGTAGTTCGGGGCGCGGTCGCCAGGTCGTTCTGTTGAGCTACGTCGTGATGCTCGCCGTGGGCCAGCTCACCCAGCGGGACAAGGACCCCCCTCTGGCTTTTCTAGCGACGGGGGAAGGCAGGAGATGAGGAGGGAGGAGAAGGGGGGACGAGCGAGGAGGGAGGAGGGGCGAGGGAGGAGGGAGGGAGGAGGGACGAGGAGGAGGGAGGAGGGAGGAGGGAGGGGGGGGGAGGAGGAGGGAGGGAGGAGGGGGGAGGGAAGGAGGGAAAAGGGGATGGAGGAGGGAGGAGGGAGGAGGAGAGAGAAGGAAGGAGGTAGGAGGGAGGAGGAGGGAGGGAGGGAGGAGGGAGAGGAGGGAGAGGGGGTGGACGACGGAGGAGGGAGGAGGAGGGGGGACGAGGGAGGCGGCAGGGACTCGGGAGAGGAGGAGGGCGAGCCGAGGGAAGAGGTGGAGAGAGGGGCGGGGGGGTGGCGCAGATGCAGAGGGGGGGGAGGGAGGGCGGGCGGAGGAGGAGCAACGGAGCGGGGGAGCATGGAGGAAGGAGGCTGAGGCGGAGTTCGAGAGGGGGAACGGGCCTGAGGAAACGGGAGGACGAGGAGGACAAAGAGACGGGTGGAAAAGAAGGGAGGGGAGAGGAGAGGAACATGGGGGAGGGAGGATGAGGCGGAGTGCGCGAGGGGGAAAGGGCTGGAGGAAACGGGAGGAACGACGGAGGAGGAACGACGGAGCGGAGGAACGACGGGGCGGGGAAGCGTAAGATTCGAGTGGGCCAGAACTCAGGTTTGCCGACGCCTTTTGACGAGCGTTTCCTGGATTTTGACGGTCCGGTTTGTGGATGTCAAAAAAATGATGTTTGCGGCGGGAGCTCGCGCCAAATTTCAGACTGGGTCGCGTCATTCCATGACGGCCCGTCAGGCCAACCCCAAGTCCCCCGAACCCGAGTCTTACGTCTCCTCGAACGGAGGAAGGAGGATGAGGCGGAGTGCGAGACGGGGAAAGGGAAAGGCTAGAGGAAACGGGAGGAAGATGAAGATAATGAGACGGGTGAAAAAGACAAAACAAAAAGAGGATAGGAGAGGAGAGGAGAGGAGGAGAACGGCAGGGAGGTGCAGAGTGGGAGGTGGCGGGAGGGAGTGGGGAGGCTTCTCTGAACGGTCGGCTTAATGGTGGTGCCAGAGGGGAGAGCAGCTCGTCATGGTTTGACACTGGCAGCACAAGGATCGGGCTGCTGGAACGCGCTTGCACATTCGTCCGTGGCCTCTGGTCGTGCGCTCGAGGCCTCAGTGTGCGCCGTCTGGCGCGTGTGTGGCGAAGGACGTGCATTTTCCGCCCCTAGGGGCCACGTCTCCTGAATGCCAACAAAAATGTGTTCAGCATTCCCTGTTCCTGGTTCATGAGACATACAGTCGGGGCGCTGAGGAAGGAACCTTTTTCGTTGGGGAGGGGCTCGGTGTTCCTTAGTTGTGTTGTAGTTCGCCTTTGGTTTTGCTTAGGGTTGTGATAGGTGTCCTTTGATAGGTTTAGCATGTTGATCTTTCTTGTGTAGCCCAGCATTCCAGCTCACGGGGCAGCCAGGATTGTCCGCTATGTTGTTCAGGGAAGGTTGTACTGTACTTCGTCGTACTGGCTCAATGCCAAAATCACATCTGTTCATCCTGCTGCTGCCACAGTTGGTAGCGGAGCAGTGTTCGGCGCGGCCAGCATGGGCGCTCTTAGGCACCGCTAGGCAGCGGTGGTGCCAGGGGCGGCTCGGGCTGCTGCGCGAGCGCTGCTCTCATCGAATTGGACAGAGCGCGGATCCACGGCAAGGGTATGCCAGCAGAAGACGACGAAGACGGCAGCAAGAACTACGCTGTGATCGATCCAGGGGGCTCGCAGCAGTCGGGGGCGACTGCGGGCGGCGGTGCTTCCGCTATCGGAGCTCAGGCTTCGGGCTCAGGCGGCCAGCTGCCGGACCAGCTCAAGGAGCTGGTGCAGCAGCTCGTGCAGGAGGCGCTGGGCCCGAGACAGGGCGGCGGAGCTGGAGGCACAGGTGATCGAAGCAGCGGACGTCCCAGCGGCGATCCAGGCGGGCGGGACAGTTCTCGGGGCCAGGACCCTTGGAGCGACGCCGGCCGGGACCCCTGGAGGCGTGGAGGACAGCCGGAGTCGAAGGACAGCGAGGGAGATCGGTCGGATCAGCAGCAGCACGAGTCGAACTGGAAGGACACCGACTGGAAGGACAACTCCAACTGGAAGGACTCCGGCTGGCAAGGCTCCGGCTGGGCCGATGGCGGCGGGTGGTCAAAGGGGGACTACTCGGACCCGCCGGCATGGCCTGGCTGGGGCCACTATCGGTTGTGGAAAAAGGCCATGCAACGCTGGAATCGGAATACGGACGTGCAGCTGTGGCGACGCTCGGAGCGCTTCCTCAAGCTGTTCGACTGGGCGATGCAGGCCAAGTTCGAGGACATCAGCGAGGGCGTCTTGTGTAGCCCGCAGTGGTTGGACACCCTCTTGGCCAGGATGGACATCATGAGCGGTGAGCGCGAGGGCGACGACATGCGACGCGCAGGTCGCCGGGCTCTATTTGAGTGCACCCGTGGCGCCAGGGAGAGCCTCACGCAGTTCGTGGCCAGAAGGGAACAACAGATGCAGGAGGCCGAGGGCCACGACATCTGGATGTCCAACAAGATGAAGGGTTTCATGCTCGAGGAGGGCGCCGGCTTGGGCGCTCAGGGTCAACAGAATCTTCGAGCGCTGACGAAGGGCAGCCTCGAGTATAGCGACGTTGCCTGGGCCCTCAGGCAACTAGACTACGGCAGTGGCGAGATGCTGCTGCCCGGCGGCAGCTCGTCCCACCCCGTCCTGGCCGCAGAAGACGGCTTAGGCGATGGGGCCAGTTCCCTTCCTCCTCCTCCCTCTCAGGCTTATCCTGCCCTGGGCTCCGGGACTGCGAGGCAAGACGACGAGTCGTACTACGACGAGTCAGAGGAGGGACCAGATGAGGAAGACGATGAGCTGTCTGAGTCGGATGTCATGGCCATTTTGGTGGAGATTAAAGACCTCGACCTCGAGGAGGACGACGCCACGGGCCACGGAGGCGTTCATCCAGATGACCGGCAAGGTTCAGCGCCGGTCTTGGAAGCAGAACAAGGATCTCAAGCGGGCCGCCAAGCAGGACCGCGAGTTCTATGGGGCCAGGCAGCCGCGCGGAGGCGACGACGGCCGACGAGGAGGCCGCGGGGGCGCCCGGGGCAAGGGGCGTGGCCGAGGCCGCGGCGACCGACAGCGAGGACACGACGGCGGCTCAGGCACCAGTCCGCGGATCCTTCGACTGATGAAGGTGACCCGTTGCAAGAACTGCAAGGAGAAGGGCCACTGGTCCCGGGAGTGCCCCAATCCCCGGAAGGAGGATGACCCCAGGCGTTCGGATCGACCTCGCCGAGGCATGACAGGCTATACCTTCGACGGGCGCAGCTTCCCAGTTCTGAGCTCCGACGCGATCGAGAGGCTGAAGGACCTGCAGGCGGAGGTCGAGTCCAGCGACGTCTACCTGAACGCAGCCGTGACTCAGGGCCTGGTGGATCCGGGCGCCGGGAGCGACATCGTGGGGCTGCCTTCGCTCAATCGAGAATCGGAGGCACTCGCCAAGTACGCCCTACGATACGTGGTGGTGTCCAGCGAGTTCAAGGCACCCAAGAAGGCCCACGGCATCGGAGGCGAGGCGAAGGTCATCTGCACCATCCTGTATCCGTTGTGTCTTGGAGGAGTGATGGGAGTAGTGGAGACCACTGTTTTGAACGAGGATGTGCCTCACATCCTGAGTGTGAACCTGCTAGGTTTCCTCGGCTGTGTCTTGGACTTGCCGCGCAACCTTCTGACCTCGCAGTACCTGTCGCAGGACATCCCGGTCACCAAGCCCGGATCGGGCCATCGCATGGCCGACATAGTGCGAGAGACGCGCGGCAGCCACGAGGCCCCCGACCCTGAGGTGCGCTGGCGGTTATTTTAAACGCCAAGACGATGGCAATTATTTTTTTATTGCCGGCGTTTTTTTTTATGTTCCTAACATATCGTGTAACCTAGATTTGCAAGATCTTATGGATTCAAGTCAATTTTTTCATAGGGTTATGACGTGTTGCTACGGTTTTACACAATATTTACAAGGTTGTGCATTCGATGTTGCTGTGTATGATATATTGACATAAGCGTGTGTTGTGTTATTCTTCTGGTTATACAATATTGTGTTGCTTCGCATGCCTTTGGCCTCTACGGCTTGCGAACTTATATTGCGAGCTATAGGCCAAGTTCGAGAGGGGGATCAAGATTCATCTCGGACCCCGAGGGTAACGATATAAAAATAGGAGACATGATAAGTTAAGAGGAAGAGGAGGATGAGGAGGAATAAGGGGGGGAGGAGGAGGAAGAGGAGGAGGAGGAGGAGGAGGAAGAGGAGGAGGAGGAGGAGAGGAGGAGGAGGAGGAGGAGGAGCGGGAGGAGGAGGAAGTGGAAGGGGAGGAGAAGGATGAGGAGGACGAGGGAGGAGGAGGAGGAGGAGGAGGAGGAGAACGACGAGGGAGGAGGGTGAGGAGGAACAAGGTGAGGAGGAGAAGAAGGAATACGAGGAACAGAGGACTGCAGAAACAAGCAATAGACAGCACAGGCTGGACAGGAGGCTGGAATGATGAGGCAATCCCCGCAGCAGAAGGGGAAGCAAACGCAGCGGTGTGGTCCCGCGGCATTCTGGCTCCGAAGTCAAGGATCGGCATCCTCTCGAGGCCGTGCCTGGCCGAGGCCCCGCGCGCTCCGTGGTGGATAGCGGGCTCATGTTGCAGACGCAGCCCGACGCCATCTCGTCTGGCAGTGCGGGTGAGAGCCGCGAAGCCTCGGCTGTGTCGTCGCACCCCGACAGGCTGCCAGCGTTCGGAGAGCCTGGGTATGAGAAGCATCATCATGTAGGTGTGGACAGGCCAATTTCGATCAGCGATGGATCTGACGACGAGCCGCTTGCCAAGTACAGGAAGACGAAGAGCGAGGGCGACGACGACACGCGTGGCCCAGACGAGTCCGTCGACGTCGCCGAGGTCGAGCACGGCAGCGAGCCACACGGGCCTGATGCAGATGACGACGCTGACGGTGGCCCTGCTGCCGATGACGGCCATCATCTCGGCGATGGCGACGGCGCGGTGCTCGGTGGCAATGATGACGGCGTGATCGACGGTGGCGGCATTCACCTCGACAAGGGCTCGGTCGACACAACGGGCGTGAACACCGTCCCCTACGAGTCTGCGCAGGCTGCGACGCTGCCCTACGACGACGAGCCTCTGACCCCGCCGCCCAGAAAGCAAGCGCTGCTGCATGAAGTTCATTCGTTCTGCCAGAATGTTCAGAAGTCTGCAGGCTCCCTTGACGAGCTGCAGGTGCACGCCTCCCTGAAGCGCTTGTTCGACTCGTCTGCCGTGAACACGCTGCTCAAGCAGAAGCAGGTCGACGAGGGCACGCCCGAGCCCGTCTCGGCCGAGGAGACTGCGCAGGAGAAGGCCAAGGCGATGATGTGGGCAGAGGTGAAGGCCTTCTCAGCGGGCAGAAGATACGAGGAGGAGGATGAGAACGACGAGTAGGTATAGGAGTAGGAGTAGGAGTAGGAGTAGGAGGAGGAGGAGGAGGAGAGGAGGAGGAGGAGGAGGAGGCGGGGGAGGAGGATAGGAGGAGCAGGAGGAGGATGATGATGATGATGATGAGGAGGAGGAGGAGGAGGAGGAGGAGGAGGAGGAGGAGGGAGGAGAACCAAGGAGGCGGAGAAGGGGGAGGAAGAGGAGGAGGAGGAGGAGGAGGAAGAGAAGAGAAGAGAAGGAAGTGGAGGAGGAGAAGCAATAATGCCGAGGAGGAGGATCATGGCGACGACTACGATGAATGCAACTCGCCAGGCTGCGAACTTCTACTTCATGACGAAGGGGAAGCAGGGCAACAGCATCGCTGGCGTCTGGGAGCGCCGCAAGAAGGCGGACATCGAGGGCGTGGCGACGCAGTACGCCAAGATCAAGGGCCGCGACAACCAGGCTGAGTTCAGGGCGAACTGGGCCAAGGAGCTTTACGCCAAGTACGAGAAGAAGACGACCAAGACGACGTCCGTGGAGCACGAATGGGTGAAGAAGAGCTCCATGGTCACGATTGGCCGCATGGCATGGAAATACGGCGGCGGCCCAGAAGGGTGGAGAGCTGCAAGCACTAGATGTGCGAAACTGATTCAATTGGGGAGCCCGTTCGTTGAGTGGGAGGAGTCTTCGGAGACGCTGCTCTTCGCGTACGTCCAGAGGGAGATGAACGAAAAGTTCGTCGAGGTTTGGACCAAGCACGAGACTTGGTTGCAGAATGCGGTGGTGAACGATGAGGCGTCGGACCAGGCTCGAGCCAGGAGGAGGAGGAGGAGGCAGAAGGAGGATGAGGGAGGATAACGAAGGAGGAGGAGACAGGGGAGGAGGAGGAGGAGGAGGAGGAGGAGGAGGAGAAGGAGGAGGAGGAGGAGGAGGAGGAGGAGAAAGAGGATACGATTCTCCACCCCTCCCACGAGGCCCAGCCGCACGCCGCAATTGCAGCTCCCGCGGCTTCGCTGGCGCAGGCAGTGCCCAAGGCGCGGAGGAGAGAAAGGAATGATGGAGGAGGGAGAGCGAAAGAGGAGGAGTAAGGAGGGAAGAGCAGTCGGAGAGGTGACCAAGAGGAGGTAGGTCAGAGGACGGATGAGGCAACATCTGGGCAGACTGGAGTAGACACGAGGACGAGGGGTGAGGAGGAAGACAGAGGAGGAGGGAGACATAATAGGCGAAGGATGCATGATGAAAGAGGGATGCAGGAAAAATAAGGAGGTGGGGGAGGAGAGGCATGAGAGCGGTGAGAGTAGGAATTTAAGAAAGGAGCCGGTGGGCGAGAGTGTGCGTCCGCCAGGCGAGCGGCCCCAGCAGCGCAGCGGCGGCGGCGGGCATGGAGATCGCTTCGGAGGGGCTGGGATCCGAGCAGGGGTGGGGTTATCTCACATCCCGTCGCGTTGATGTTGCATTGACGTTGCATTGACCGTACACTGACCTTGCATTGACCTTGCGTTGACTTTGCATTGACGTTGCGTTGACCTTGCATTGACCTTGCGTTGACTAACCACGCGTCGACATTCAATACGATATTGCAGTGACGTTGCATTGACGTTGCATTGACCTTGCATCGATACTGCATTGATCTTGCATCGAATTATGTGTTGCTATATGTATGTATATGGTCATTACACTTCATCTTTCCGCGGACAGTCCATTATCACCAACATCCTGATATGTTCATCGTCCTTTTTCGCTCCTGGAAATCATCAGCATAGCCGGTTTGGCTCGTCTAGCTCGGCGAGCCTGTCGGCGCGAGCGCGCTCGCATGGCTGCGGTCGCGAAGAAGCCTGCGGGGGCGGCCCAGAAGGGCAGGCCGCCAGGCAGCGTGACCACTGAGATCGACGAGAGCACTCAGAAACTGATCTTGCAGACCTTCGAAGCTGAGTTGGACGAGCCCGAGTCAGCCGAATACGGGCCTCAACAAGACGAGGATTCACTGCGCCAGAACGCCAGGCTATTGAAGCGGCTGAGGTCCATCACGAATAACAAGATCCCTGCCGAGAGCGTGCTCCAGAAACTCCTCCTTGAGTTCGCGGGCAATCAGGAGTCCTCTCCAGGTTGGAAGCTCGCAGATCAAGCTGAATCGTGGAGTGAAGGGAGAGCAAGATCGATCCACTTGATGCTGCAACACGTGGCGAACGGAGTGCGCAAAAACCCGATACCGAAGTGGGCCAACGTGTTCGGACGGTCAGCTTGTGCCCCGAGTGCTGCATCCGAGCTCGCCGAGGGCACCAACGAGGACGGCGAAACGGATGACGGAGACGCTGCAGGAGATGAGGATGCTCATGATGAGGCTGATGAGGAGGCCGAGGAGGAGCACAAAGCTGAGGACCCTGCAGAACCTGATGAGCCAGCACAGCATGAATCACCAGCTCTGCCAGTGGATGCAGCGGGCGAGCTTGTCGATGGGTGGTTGGTCGGCTGGAGCAAGGAGATGAAGGCCGATCGTTCCGACGCTCGTTGGCTGATTGTGATAGTCGGATGCTCACGTTTCAGTTCGACTGGATCCGAAACGAGTTGAATCGAATCGATTCGATTTGGTGGGATTTGTTTCGAGTGGCCGCCCGATTGCCTTCGAGTCAACGCGAACCGATTCGACGCGATGCGATGTTATGCGATGCGATGCGATGCGATGCGGTCCGATCCGATTCGATCCGATTCGACTCGACCGAGCGACCGCCCAGGCAGCTTGGAGGAAGGACCCCGACAAGAAGGGCAAGAAAGTCTTAGTCGAGTACGCCGCGCTCAAGAATGAGTGCGACATCTCCTACGCAGTGTGGCCTGACGGCATGAAGCTCAAGGTCCCTGACGAGCTCCAGGAGCCAACGCAGACCAAGGGGCGCGTGCTCGAGAAGCCAATCTGGTCTGGCGAGAAGGGCGGTGCCAAGCTCGAGGCCAAGTGGACGAGGAAGCACGGCAAGGAATGGATCACTCTCTGGAGCACGAAGGACAAGCAGCTGACCCAACTGTTATCTCTCACTGGGTACCCCGACCGCGAGACGGGCGCCAAGGTGATCTCTGAGCTCGGCGACTTGTATGTTGGCGGCTACGACAAGCCGCAATTAGAGGCGGAGAAGGCGAAGCGTGGTTACGGCAAGAAAGGCGCTCGCCCCAAAGCAAGTCTGAAACGTCCAGCTGCTGCGCTTGACGCCGCACCAGCTGGCGCGGCACCCGCCGAGGCCGCGGTTGAGCTGCCTCCCGAGAGCAAAGCTGTCAGTGCCCAGATCAGCCCCCGTAAGAAGCCAGCAGCTGCCTCCGCATACAGCACGCCGAGCCCGAAGAAGCAGAAGCCAGTCGTCGCTGCAGGTGGCGGTGCTTCGCCAGCGGCAGCCCCCTCGGTGCCCTTGGCAGAGGAAGAGGCCCAGCACCTTTCCACGAGCCGCCCGCCCAACATGACGACTGACAAGGACGCCCACCTGGTGATCCCGCCGCTTCCAGCGATCCCTGAGATCCCCTGCTTCGACTAGTGGCGTGCAACTCGGCACGTAACAGATCGAGTGCGGTTGAAGGGTGGCTGGAAACTGTTGAACCAGCATCAGTCATCACCATCTCATGCATCTCCACGTCAACACACCATAAACACCATGACGTCGTCGGGCCATACCCAGCATCACCAATCCCAACATCGTCACCATCATAAGATACGCACCAGCAACATCATCAAGACCACGATCGAAATCAACATCGACAATCCAATGACACACCCGTTGTTTGCTATGTACGCAATGCAAAATAACATAAAACCCTTGAAGGGATGCACCCGCGACAAATCAATATTACTTGACTGTGTATACTGACGCTGCCCCGTTACGCGAAGGGACGAAGTGCATTCCCCCGTGGCCGCACACGCCCATCAAGAAACGATCCCAACGCGTGCAGTCGTGAGCAGAAATCGAATGGACACTCTAAATCAGGGGGGCACCAATCACACCACTGGGGGGGTCGCTGAGCACAAAGTGTGGCACGTTCACTTGACTCTATATATATATGTCCATATATATACATATATCAGAGCCTTCAGATGCATCTCACCGTAGCGTTCCTATATTGAACTGATCTTGAGGCCTCGGGAATTTGTTCATGCCCCCGTGGGAAGCAAGAAGGGGAGAGGCTGACGAAGACGGAGAAGGAGGAGGGGGGGGAGGAAGGACGAGGGAGGGAGGAGAGGGGAGGGAGGGCGAAGGAGGACGAGGATTGAGGAGGAGAAGGTTGTGATGGGGAAGTGCAGTAGGAAGGAGGAATAGCGGGAAGTCGTCGCTTGAAGGGGCGGGTGCGCAGAAGAGAGCGCAAGGGTGAGAGGGGAGGCAGCTGGCAACGCTGGTGGCGCTGGTGGCGCTGGTGGCCGCCCTGCGGCTGGTGGCCAGGACGCGCCGCGAACCCCAGCTGTTGCTGCCTTGCCTGCGTTATGAGGCCACGAAGCGTGTGAGAGGTGCGCCGTTGCCACTGGGCCCTACGGTGGAGCTCCCTATGAAGACACACTGCTTAAGTTGCCGCCCACTTGACGAGGGTGACTGGGCACAAGAAGACTGACCGAATGACAAGGAGGAGAGCCCGAGGGGGAGGAGAAGAAGGAAGAGGATAGTGAGAAGGAACACAAGGAGGAGGAGGAGGAGGAGGAGGAGGAGGAGGAGGAGGAGGAGGAGGGGTTTGCCATCCTCATTTCAACTCCTGATCCTCCTGCCCCGTCTGCTCCTCTCCTCCCTCCCTCCTCCTCCTGTCCGCTTCCGTGTCTTCTCCCCCATCCGTCCCCTCTCTTCGTCCTGCTCCTCCTCCTCCTCCTCAGCTTTTTTTTTTTTTTCTGATCATATCGCTGGCAAGCTCCGCAGGAGGGCGAGCCGTCAGGCAAGCGCCAGAGGGCGAGCATGGCCGCTGCCGCACCGCCCGCACAGCCGAAGGCTACAGGGAAGGCGAGCGCGAAGCAGCCAGGGGCGCCGCCACCGACAGCAGTGCCGAAAGGCAAGGCGAAAGCGAAGGCTGCAGGGAAGGCTGCCTCCCAGGCAGCCGCGAGCAAGGCTGACCCCGTGAAGAACGCCAGGGCCCTGTACACCAAGTACTCGCTGGTGACATCGCAGGCCGAATCGTTCCTCGATCAGCTGACCAGGGACGAATCGTGGGCTTTCGCAAGGAAGGCTGACATGCAGAGCGATCTATTGAAGTACGTGAATGACCTCAAGGACCTGAAGAGTAGCAACGCTTTGCTCCGCGAGGTGTTCTCCGTCGGCCTCAAAGCTTACGAGAAGTCGGCCGACGCAGTCAGCTTCCACCAGGCGGTGAGCGACATCAATGAGATGGAGTGCCAGATCTCGCAGGTGGAGTGTGAGATGGCCTACCTGATTCAGGCCAAGGAGCTCAGGGAGCAGAGGATGCAGGCCACCGCTACGGCGTGAACCTCGAGCACTGACGGCTGCCACAGCAAATTGCCCCCAGCACCAGGGGATCGGTGCAGAAGCTGTGCCATCGAACGACGAGATTTTCTTCAGGCCTTTCTGTACACTCATTCCAGGGAAGGTTTAGGATGATATCAGTTTTTGCTTAGCTGAGGTTTGAAACTGCACATGATATGATCATGTAATGTATGACAATCGTCGACGATGGCGCAGCACGCTCGGAACTTTAGTAGGCGTTCGCATGCAATCATTGCAATGGGTGCCAATCCTGGCATGCAACCTCGGGGTCGCACAGGGCTTTGGCCCGTGCAGTATATGTTCCGCTTAGGGCAAGCACGTGGCGAGCTGGATAATTCTCCGTCGTCTGGGCAATTTGAGACCCACGGACGCTCCTCGACAAGCGCCGAGCCGGTTTCGTACGCATCTGCAGCAGTGGCAAGCCGGCTAGAGCGCACTCGACCCCTGCCAACCCCCCCCCGACCTACCGTTGACTTTCCGTTGACTTTGGACCGTTGACCTACCGTTGACTTTCCGTTGACTTTGGTCAGAAACCCTGTGTTTTTACAGGTTTCGTGCGTTGACTTTCCGTTGAATTTGGA